AAAAGCTCAAGTGAGAAAAAGAAGAAAAAATCTAAGGAACGAGCACCTCCAACACGAATAGAAAGTCGAGGTGAGTGGCATATTATTCTACTTAATATGATTAGTTAAATTTATTGCTTATGTCACATGATGCCAATAACATATTTATTACTTTGTAATGTAGAGTTGGTTGTTCAAGCAACACAAGATGGAGCTCATTTCCCAGATTATTTGCATAATTCAAATCAGTTTCAAAGTGCCTTTTATCCTAGCAATATTGGTGGTCCTAGAGTAAATCTAAATTTTCATAATCAGGTATATTGCTCGTAGTCTTTCAGTTGTATTTACATTTTACTAATTTGGTCAAATTTTTTTTGTGGATGTAGCAGCCACCATACATCATGCCGCCGGAGATTATGAGTGGATTTTGCCCATTCCCCAGTCAGGTATTTAATAGCTGAACTTATCGGATACATGAATGAGAATAATCTTGCAAAACAAATTAGTAGTGACAAATTTATTATATGTAGATGCAATCACAATACACCATGCCGCCAGGGATTATGAATGGAATTTCCCCATTCACTAGTCAGGTGCTTATTATGAAATCATTTTAGATCCTAGTGTTATTTCACCTTATTATTACCATTGTAATATTTATTGTTAATGGTTTCTTCTGCATAGATGTTGGAGTATCATAATAGATCTCATGGAACCATTTTGAGTTAGGTACAACTTGCTTTTTTTTATTCAACACTTATTTGAGACATTTATCTTGGCATTTGTTTAGTAAAATGTAAATAAATTGGTTATTCCTTTGTGCAGGGGTCATCAAACTCTTTTCATCATCCTAGGGTGAATGAGTTGAACGACTCTGAAGGAACATAAATCAATTGGCTGAAGTAACTCATAATTTTGTCTCTCTCTAGGAGGAGGAGGAGGAGGAACTCTCCCTCTCTTTTATGTACAGGCTTGAATTTATAGCTTGTTGTGGATGAGCTCGACTTCGATTCCCGCCACTTCTCGTCAAGAAGAGGTAAAAGAGCTTGACCTTGAAATTTGAAGCAGTTACCTTCGGGTTGGTAATAGGGGTCATCTAAATTATTAATGTTACGGGAGTTGTTATTGTGATATTTTCCTTTTTGTGAACGAACATCACTTCGTTGTAGACATTTGGATGATTTGTCCTTGCTGTTAACTCTGAATGTTTGAAACATTTCCATGGCTGATTGAAGAGAGACTTCTCTTTGGACATGTAATGTCCATCTCCATTATCATTGGACAATATGCAGCTGTGGATCTACTTTTGTTAATGGACACTATTCTGTAGCTGGAGTTCCAAGGTGTGAGAAAGCAACTAAAAGTACAAGTTTGTAAATCTTAAAGTCTTCAGAAATTTTGGTATTTGGACTTTTTCAGACTTGACATGTATGTACACCAAGGCCGGTTGCATCAAGGCTTGCTGCGATACCCATCTCGCCTCGGTCGTGAATGATTGAAAGTTCATTCCAGATCGTGATGTCTTTTTTTCCTTTCGCATATTTTCATTCATGACATTTTCAAATTCATGGGGGCAGAGCGAGTAAGACTTTTGCGCTGATGTTGAACTTTTGTTCAGCTTGCTTATGTCGAGGGAGGAGGGGATGAATGAAAGTTGCTTCCTTTATCAGCGGAATAGAGCTAAACTATTTTTTTTTCTGATTTGTTTGTAAATTTTGAAATACTCAACTTTCTGAAGTTGATTGCAAATATCCGTTGTTTCCATCTGGTGGAGTTCAAGTGCAGTCATCTGCTTACAATGTTATTTAACTCTGTCGAACTGAAAAGTGGTGGCCATGAGACCAAATGACTAGACGATGTTGCAAAGAGTTAAGATGAGTAACATTAAGCTCTCATTATTGCAGCACTCACTGTCAAATGCAATTCAATCACAAGATCCATAATTGGTTGCTCTGGCTTAGGCTAAGATATTCTTGTATTATATCTCAGATAGAAAACCTCCTTTCTTGGATGGAAGAGTAGTTTTTACTGAAGAAGCTGAGCCTATAATGCCGCTCAAAGATCCGACGTCAGATATGGCTATAATCTCAAGAAAAGGTTCTCCTCTGCTCAAGGAGATTCATGAAAAACAGAGTATGAATAAATCGCGCCACCGCTTTTGAGAGCTTGCTGGCTCAAAACTTGGAGATATTCTTGGTGTTGAGAAATCATAAGCCGATGTCATGTGTTTTGCAAGTTTGAATGACGGTGTCCTCTCTCTCTCTCTCTCTATTTTCAGATTTAGGGTTTAAATTCAGAATTTTGGAAAATTTTTCGCTACGAAGTCCGATTTTTGAGTTGTTGAGCTGCGCATTTTTATAGAATTGGTAGTTTAGGGTGTCGTGGAGCTGTGGGATTTTACGGATCTTGATTTGGACTTACCGTTTACCCGAAAACGAATTTTTAAAGTTTTCCGCGCGAAGTGAACAGTGCACGTCCGGCAGTCTTCAGGCCATATTTCTCTGCGAAATCCGATTTGTGAGTCGTTGAGCTGCGCATTTTTGTAGAATTGGTAGTTTAGGGTGTTGTGGAGCCGTGGGATTTTACAAATCTTGATTTGGACTTACCGTTTCCCCGAAACAAATTTTTGAAATTTTCCGCGCGAAGTGAACAGTGCACGTCCGGCAGCCTTCAGGCCATATTTCGCTGTGAAATCCGATTTTTGAGTCGTTGAGCTGTGCATTTTTATAGAATTGGTAGTTTAGGGTGTCGTGGAGCCGTGAGATTTTACCGATCTTGATTTGGACTTACCGTTTGCCCGAAACAAATTTTTGAAATTTTCCGCGCGAAGCGAATAGTGCACGTCCGGCAGCCTTCAGGCCATATTTTGCTGCAAAATCCTATTTTTGAGTCATTGAGCTGTGCATTTTTATAGAATTGGTAGTTTAGGGTGTCGTGGAGCCGTGGGATTTTACGGATCTTGATTTGGACTTACCGTTTGCCCGAAACGAATTTTTGAAGTTTTCCGCGCGAAGTGAACACTACACCTCCGGCAGCCTTCAGGACATATTTCACCGCGAAGTTCGATTTTTGAGTCGTTGAGCTGTGTATTTTTGTAGAATTGGTAGTTTAGGGTGTCGTGAAGCCTTGGGATTTTACGGATCTTGATTCGAACTTACCGTTTGCCCGAAACGAATTTTTGAAGTTTTCCGCGCGAAGCGAACAATACACGTCCGGCAGCCTTCAGGCCATATTTCGCTGCGAAGTCCGATTTTTTAGTCATTGAGCTGCGCATTTTTATAGAATTGGTAGTTTAGGGTGTCGTGGAGCCATGGGATTTTACTGATCTTGATTTGGACTTACCGTTTGCCCGAAACGAATTTTTGAAGTTTTCCGCGCGAAGTGAACACTACACCTCCAGCAGCCTTCAGGACATATTTCACCGCGAAGTCCGATTTTTGAGTCGTTGAGCTGTGCATTTTTGTAGAATTGGTAGTTTAGGGTGTCGTGAAGCCTTGGGATTTTACGGATCTTGATTTGAACTTACCGTTTGCCCGAAACGAATTTTTGAAGTTTTCCGCGCGAAGCGAACAATACACGTCCGGTAGCCTTCAGGCCATATTTCGCTGCGAAGTCCGATTTTTTAGTCATTGAGTTGCGCATTTTTATAGAATTGGTAGTTTAGGGTGTCGTGGAGCCATGGGATTTTACTGATCTTAATTTGGACTTACCGTTTGCCCGAAACGAATTTTTGAAGTTTTCCGCGCGAAGTGAACACTACACCTCCAGCAGCCTTCAGGACATATTTCACCGCGAAGTCCGATTTTTGAGTCGTTGAGCTGTGCATTTTTGTAGAATTGGTAGTTTAGGGTGTCGTGAAGCCTTGGGATTTTACGGATCTTGATTTGAACTTACCGTTTGCCCGAAACGAATTTTTGAAGTAGCGAACAGTACACGTCCGGCAGCCTTCAGCCCATATTTCGCTGCGAAGTCTGATTTTTTAGTCATTGAGCTGCGCATTTTTATAGAATTGGTAGTTTAGGGTGTCGTGGAGCCATGGGATTTTACGGATCTTGATTTGGACTTACCGTTTGCCCGAAACGAATTTTTGAAGTTTTACTCGCGAAGCGAACAGTACACGTCCGGCAGCCTTCAGGCCATATTTCGCCGCGAAGTCCGATTTTTGAGTCGTTGAGCTGCGTATTTTTATAGAATTGGTAGTTTAGGGTATCGTGGAGCCATGGGATTTTATGGATCTTGATTTGGACTTACCGTTTGCCCGAAACGAATTTTTGAAGTTTTACGCGCGAAGCGAACAGTACACGTCCGGCAGCCTTAAGGCCATATTTGGCCGCGAAGTCCGACTTTTGAGTCGTTAAGCTGGGAATTTTTATAGAATTGGTAGTTTAGGGTGTCGTGGAGCCGTGGAATTTTACGAATCTTGATTTGGACTTAACGTTTGCCCGAAACGAATTTTTGAAGTTTTACGCGCAAAGTGAACAGTACACGTCCAGCTGCCTTCAGGCCATATTTGGCCGCGAAGTCCGATTTTTGAGTTGTTGAGCTGCGCATTTTTGTAGAATTGATAGTTTAGGGTATCGTGGAGCCATGGGATTTTACGGATCTTGATTTGGACTTAACGTTTGCTCGAAACGAATTTTTGAAATTTTCCACATGAGATTTTACAGTAATCAGTAAGCTTAGAGTTACAGTAATCAGTAAGCTTAGAGAGAGAGAGAGAGAGAAAGAGAAAGAGAGAGAGAGTAAATGGCTATAAAGATGCAAAAAAAAAATTCTGTAGACTTAATGCCAAAAGGTCTGCTTGTTTCAAATAATTTCACAAACTTAATTCTGAGCCTTCCTATAGCTTCTGTTTTCCCTAACATTTGCTAAGATAAAAATGATGTGCCAAAATCGGCATCAACTCAATAGAACGACATGGAGTCGGAGAAACGCTGTACTAGAGAAAATGTGAGTGAAAAAGAAGAAAAAAAATCTAAGCTAAGACAATGCTTCATACGGTCGACTTCACGTAACTCGCATCAGAGTCTCAATTTGGTCCTCCACATGTCTCCAATGACCATCTTAGGTTGCGGATTATCTGGCCCTCGATCCCGCTACCCCGATGTAAAGTACAACCAGCCGTCACAAAAGCTTGCGATTGCGGTTTTGACGCGGTAAGGAAGCTTACCGATCACCATCCATTTCATACCACAAGCATATAGACGTCGCTATAGACTACCTGAAATAAGAAAGTTCCAAGTTTGAAGAATCAGCTCGAATGAAACATCATATGACACAAGCATGCATCTTTTGATAAGCTAATAAAATCAATGACCAGATGATGAGTAGCATGATCAGCAAAGAATGTATCTAAACATGTGAATGCCCCATTCTACTTGGTTCTGTAAGTAACATTGGAATGCCCCATTCTACTCGAACTAATTATCTCATATCTCAGCTCATATATATCAAAAGATTAACGCAAAATGCTAGAGCTGTCTCAGGAAAGCACTGGTCCCAACAAATTGCTGACAAAGATAACAAAGTTGATCAACCTATCATATCTTAACCTTCGGCTTTGACTTATGGAATCAGCCTAAAAATGTTAAAGCTTTGCGGAGTCTACATTGGGACTTCTAGTTGCCATTACCTGCAATAGATCAGCTGCATAGTGGCGACTTCATTGACTTAGAGACCTCCTGCTCGTGATAAAAAAGTGAAGATGCTAATATTCAGTACCCGACTACTAAAAGTAGCATTTTAGCTTACAATATTGCCGGCTTACAATGTAATATGATGTACTCATCTAATCGAACAGTAACCAAATGAAACCACTGCAAGATGCTAACTCACCCAACATCCACAGAAGAGGCAGTAGTTATACTCATCTCTTAGCTTCATCAATACAGCCAGCAGATCCTGTATACAGCAGAAAGCAGTCATTCATTACTGTAGTGCCACTTTTTCCATGAGTCATACTAAAAATGATTCAGCAATGAACTTCGTGAACTGATGCTTATGCAACATTTTTTATTCAAGGACTTTTTTTTTATCGTGATATTCAAGGACTTGAGAGAAATAACAAGAGGCAGATATCTGACAAATTTTTCACTACGGAATTTCAGTCACACAGATGAACTTCCGAAAGTTTGGAAGAGTTTTAAGATGAACTGCAAAGAAAGGCAAAAGCAGTTGCTTAATCAACTGAACCTCCATCTTCAATCTGATGAACATAATGGGTGACAAACGTTTTCACGAGTTATGAAAAAAGAAGCATTCAGTTGCACAGCATAATGAATGTAGAAAATCCTCTTACTGATCTCAGTCGTGCACTACACATCACTAATTCACTGTCATTTCACCTACTTTCACTGCCATAGAACCAAGGATGCAACAAAAGCATATGATAGTCTGAAACTAAAATCTGACTCCATTAAAACAATATGTTTCACCATTTCTAGGAAACAAAATGAACAAGCCAAAGCCATTTAAATGTAATGAATGAAACTGAGATTTAAAGAGAATCAAGATTCTGGTATATGACATCAAAGAACATATCTCTTCCGTAATTACTTCCTCTTCCTCTTCATCCTGTTCACCCTCCTCCTCGCCCTCATTCTTCTCGGGCTCTGGAAATTCCTTATTCTCTAATTGATCCAGTGCAGCCTTTGCCTTCTGGAAATATACAAATATCCTCCGACCAAACAATCCTAGAATGATGAAATACGTCATTGACCATGGAAATCTTCTCTTACCAACGACAAAACAAAATCACCTCATAGCATCCAAGCCGCCTATGCACATAAGGCGCACAAGCCCATCTGACTAAGGTACGGAACCAAACAAGAACGAGCCTTTGTAGCTAAGAAAGAACAGAGCAGCTCGAAACAAAAAACCTAACCACGATCCCAATCCTCCTAACTCCACGTTCGCAAGACTGCGGCATCAAAACGAAACTAATCTGCTCTATCAGATCGCTAAGGCCTTGGTCTTTTCCAAGACAATTAAAAGCTAGGACCTATAATCCAAAACCGAAGACAGACACATCGTAAAACCTCAAAAGAGCTCGAAACACCATCGAACCGAAAGCAACTGCGAGGCTGCGTAATCAGAAAGATATCGAAAGCCAAGCAAGCTTACCTCCTCCGATTCCCTAGTGAACCACGACCTCCATTCCCGAGGTCCGATGCAGCAGCGGAAGAGGACCTAGATCAGCACCACCACCATGGAAGAAACGGATACATCAATTCACCATCCGAAGCTCGGAGCACGAATTCCAGAGGCGAAACGACCTGCAAATCATTCGCTCCGCGCGAGCTGCTTCATCGTGCGTTCAAGAAGGAACTTCAGCGAGGGAGAGAGTGAGTTTGACTGGTGGTGGAGATTGCGAACGAGCTTGGGACCCAGCTGCTCTTGGGCGGGCGGAGGCAACGGCGGAAGTCGGGGCAATAAACCCAACTCCACAAGCTCCTCTTTCTGCTATTATGTCCTCCAATTGTGCAACCTGCTCAAAGGAAAAGTCATCCAAACTATTAAATCCTATGCTTTTTTAAAGACAGAAGCATAAAAACACTAAGGCTCCGTTCGTTTGGCGGAAAATATTCTTCCGGAAAATATTTTCCGGGTTTTCCGGTGTTCGGGGGGCGGAAAACGTTTTCGTGGAAAAATATTTTCCTTCCCCCTTCACAAAATAGCCTAAGTCTATGGAAAATGATTTCCGCTTCTTCAAAAGCGGAAATCATTTTCCGAGCTTCTTCTTCTTCTTTCACGCCGGTCGCCGCCACCACCAGCCGCCGCCGCCGCGCCGCCGCCGCCGCCGCGCCGGCTGCCGCCGCGCCGCCGCCGCCGCGCCGCCGCCGCCGGCCGGCCGCCGCCGCCGGCGCGCCGGCCGCTGCCGCCGCCGCCCGCCGCCGCGCCGGCCGGCCGCCGCCGCCGCGCCGCCGCCGCCGGTCGCCGGCCGCCGCCGCCGCCCGGTCGCCGGCCGCCGCGGTCGCGGCCGCGCCGCCGCCGTCGCCGGCCGCCGCCGCCGCCGCGGTCGCCGGCCGCCGCCGCCGCCGGGCCGCGCGCGCCCGCCGCTGCCGTCGCCGCCGCCGCGCAGGCTGCCGCCGCCGCCGCCGCGCCCGCCGCCGCCGCCGCCGCCGCGCCTGCGCCCGCCGCCCGCCGCGCCCGGCCGGCCGCCGCCTACGGTCGCCGCCGCCGCCGCCGGTCGCCGCCGGTCGCCCGCCGCCGCCGCGCCGCCGCCGCCGCCGCCGCCGCCGCCGCCGCCGCCGCGCGGCCGCCGCCCGATGTCGCCCGGCCGCCGCCGCCGCCGCCGCCGGCCGCCGCCGGTCGCCCTCCGCCGCCGCCGGCCGCCGCCGCCGCCGGCGAAAAAATATTTTCCGAAATTTTTTCATATTGGTCGCCGAACACCGGAAAATTATGTTCCGGGAAAACATTTTCCAGGAAAATGACTTCCGGGAAAATATTTTTCAAAAGGAAAATATTTTCCGCCAAACGAACGGAGCCTAAAGGTGATAAAATGACAAAATTGATCGTTCACAGAAGAATTCCCGGACAGGTATTGATGCTTCATTTTGGACCACTCCTGACGTATCTAATTTAACAGAATATTTGAAGTAACATGAATCCAGACTCGTGAATCTGCCAAAAGTGTAAGAAACCAAGAAACGAAGCATCAATATCCTTTGGGATGGTCTTCTGAATGATGTTATATTCCGGCGCAGCAAGCCAGTCCGTCTCTGGATTGACCTCCCCAAGGACGAGCTAACTCGATAGGAAGGCTTCTAATTAGAGAAATTCACAGTAACCTTCAGCTATAGGAATTTTATAGGACCAAGGCATGAAAGATGTGGCGGAACAGATTGCAAATGCAGCATATGCTGAGGTCTTTCGGTGCTTTGTCCAATCCGACTCAAATTCCATACCAGAACCTCTGCTTTTAGAGAATTCTGTTCTTGCAGATTGAGGCAGAGTATTTTCCAGGCAGATTGATGTGCCACTAAGAGTTTAAGCCCACACTTAAAGGGATGCCCTGCAATTTATTCGGCAACCAGTAAAACCAACTCTTGTTAGTTACTAAATTAAACGAATTTTGTCAATGCAAATTGTTAGTACATTGGTTATAATATGTTCCTGTTAAATCGACTACCAACTATCTGGATACTGTTCACATCTTTGGTTTGCACGTAAGCTGAATTTGAAAATGTCGACCCCTCTGCCCCCATGAGTTCTTTCAGTCCTTGCGCATTATAAACAGAACACAATCCAGCCATAGAGATTCAAAAGTGTTTTCGATATTTCTTCAATGCTAAAGCTTGGCTAAATAAGAGTACTCGAGTCTTAATCACCAAACTCTTTCCGGACAACCCCCAACAACCCCCAAAAGAGAAAAAAACAGCAAGAATTTGATGGAACGATCGAAGTACGAAGGACGCGCCACCTGCATGTAGCTCAAACCGCATATCTCTTCGAAGCAAAAACAAACAGTGGCAGGATTAGGAAGTCAAGAATATTCAAACAGCACAAGCAATCACACGAAGCACATATTCGAAGCAAAAGCAAACGATGGCAGGACTAGGAAGTCAACAACATTGAAACAGCAAAAGTAATTACACGAAGAATATGCTCTGAAGCGGCAAAAAACGAAGTTGTAACGAGAGAAAAGCACGAAAGATGATGAAGGGTCGTTACCTCCTCCAATGGAAAAACCCGCGGGCTTGGTTTAGAGGCACGATGCGCTTAGAAAGAAAATGCACGGCCTGCCCACTATTCAGCGAACATTCAGAAGGCGTGAACTCATGAAACCTCAATGAGTTTGGAAATTGAACTTTTGTGGGTTGGCGTCTGAGGCTAGGGCGTCGGCGTCGGGCTTCGTCGGAGGTGTCGTCGGCATCGGCGTCGGCGTCTAGGGCGTCGCTCGTCGAAGGCTAGGGGTCGGCGTTGACGCGAGGAGACGGACCTCGCTCGTCGGAGGCAGCGGACCTCGCTCGTTGTAGGCGTCGTCGGCGTCGGCGTCGGCGTCGGGCTTCGTCGGAGGCGTCTTCGGCATGGGCGTTGGGGGCTAGGGCGGAGGCGGAGGCTAGGGCGTCGCTCGTCGGAGGCAGCGTCGGCGTCGGCGCGAGGAGACAGACCTCGCTCGTCGGAGGTAGCGGACCTCGCTCGTGGGAGGTGACGGACGTCGCTCGTGGGCAACGGCGAACCTCGCTCGTCGGAGGTGTCAGAGGCTAGGGCGGAGGCGGAGGTTAGGGCGTCACTCGCTGGAGGCGGCCAGGGCGTTGGCGCGAGGAGACAGACCTCGCTCGCCGGAGGTAGCGGACCTCGCTTGTGGGAGGCGACGGACGTCGCTCATGGGCAACGGCGAACCTCGCTCGTCGGAGGTGTCAGAGGCTAGGGCGGAGGCGGAGGCTAGGGCGTCACTCGCCGGAGGCGGCTAGGGCGTCGGCGCGAGGAGACAGACCTCGCTCATCGGAGGCAGCGGACCTCGCTCGTGGGAGGCAACGGCTCGTGGGAGGCGACGGACGTCGCTCGTGGGCAGCAGCAGACCTTGCTCGTCGGAGGCGTCGGCATCGGAGGCTAAGGCGGAGGCGGAGGCTAGGGCGTCGCTCGTCGGAGGCGGCGTCGGCGTGGGCGCGGCGTGAGGGAGACAGAGCGCAGGGATAGAGATTGGGAGCGCGAAAGAGAGAGAGAGACTGGAGAGAGAGGGCGCTTGATTTTATTCAAAAATTTTCTCTCTCCAGATCTCTCAGCTCTGTGCTGTGCCGTGGGAGGGGAGAAAATATTGGGTGAGGGAGACGGAGCGCAGAGCAGAGAGCAGATGGGGAGCGCGAAAGAGAGAGAGAGAGGGTGTGGAGAGCAGATGGGGAGCGCGAAAGAGAGAGAGGGAGTGTGGAGAGAGAGGGCTGCTTTTAAAAAAAATTTCTCCCAGCTTCAGCTCAGCTCAGCTCAGTGCCGTGGGAGAGCCTTCCTGACATGTGGATCGTCTCGGACACGTGTCGCCACGCCGGAGTTGTTATTTCTCCACGGTGGAATCCCTAGTGGCACCCAATATTTTCTCCGCCTCATGCACGTGTGTTTCTTGGGAACCACGTTTTATTTATTGCACGTTTAAACATGGCTCCGTGGGATAACAATCCTGTGGCCACGAAAAAATGTTTCAAAAGAGGAATCTATGAACCACCAGTTTGCTTGGAAGCCTGTAATTACGATAGGGTGTATAACAACGTTGTCTATAGATCTATCTCCAGAAGGAGTACTTTTTAAGTGACTACCGATTTGAAAAACTTAACTATTTCAAATTTGGGAGAGCTACATAGGGGAGGAGAGAAATGTGTTGATTATATATCAATGTCATGCTTGAAGAGCGGCATAAAGGTGCTTATGTTGGAAAGTACCTTGTTCCACATAAATAAAATGGGAGTGTGTTGGCGAATATATAATTGTGAAAGTCTTCTTTTCTTACAAATAAAGACAATAGCTAAATGAACTAGACCCTACTATACCCGCGTGCGGGCGTGCGAATAGTTGCGCGATTTTGGTGAGTGTAGAACAAATTTGGCACTAATCAACGATTATTATTTTTTATTTATTAAAATTCGGATTTATAATTATAAAATAACATTTGTGTTCTATTGAAATAGAGTAAATGTTCGCAATAGAGTTACAATTATTTTGTTTATTATTTAATTCCGAATTTATTATTTCTATCGAACAATTATTAGGTGCTCTTACAACCTTTAAAAGGTTGTATCCGTTCAAACATATTTTTCGCTATTAATTACTCAACATTTTTGCTTAATAGAACAACTTCCATTTTTGTTTCTTTCAAAAGATATATGACCACTGTTTTCTATTGTTTCCCTTTGAGAGTTCTTGGAAAAATACCAGAATTACTATTGGGTATTCTAGCTTGAGACTTGTGTCATGGAGGAATTTGCTAGTAACCGTTAGCAACGTTTTGGGGAAAATAATTCCTTAAAGAGTGTGTTATGACAAAAAAAAAGTCTGCTTTCGTTCGTCTTCTTGATTACTTGATTTTTCCCCAACAACGTCAAGATGTCATTAATAGATGAAACTCTACATATCTAATGCTTGAAAGTATGGTTGTCTTTCAACGTGCATTTTCCCAATTAACATATCTACTCAGGCAATAGTCTTCCAAGCACTAGGAGAAATAATAGGAGATTTTGTAGTAGCTTGATTTGTGAAACTATTTAGAAATTTCTTATATGCTGATTTTATTTCATGTTTAATTGTTTTTTTATTTCATTAGTTCTTTTTCAATATACTATTATTTTTTGTATTTAAGGGAAAAATTGCTAAAAATTGGAGCCCGAGTTGGGTTGAGTACGGGTCAGGTCAAGTTGGGTCGAATATAGATTGCTAAGATTGTATTACATAAAAATAGATCGACATGGATTAATTAGATCAATTTGGATTGCTTCCATTTTTGACCTAACCAAATCCGACCGGACTCCCTCTCTTTGACCGGTGTATTCAGAACTACTAAAAAATCTCTAAGAAAAAGATTTGCAACCTCTAGGTCGGGTGAAAATTGGACTTTGACTATTAGCTTTGACACACTCGCTCACCAAACATTAGAAATTGATCTAGACCACTCCCTTTATCTTTTCTCGAAGATACGCTTTGAGAGGAAGCAAAAGAGAATGATGCATGTTAAATCGAAATTATCCGGTTAATTTAAGTCGTAGGCAGACATAGAGGGGTGCTTGGATATCTCTATTTTCTTGGCATTGAATGAATTGTGAGGGAAGCAATCAAAAACCTGCCAGCGCTTGCTGTGAAAATGAGAAAGAAGAAAGGAAGTGTTGACACAAAAAAAAAAAATTGGACCAACTCTAGATTGGTATCAACGAGTGGCATGCTCAGTCGATAATTAAAAGCAGAAGTCATCAATAAAAAAAAACAAACGGAGACCGATTAGGCTCAACGTTAGTGAAGGAAATCGATAACATCATTTATAAAGTCATCACAATATGTAGTGCAAAAATTATCAATGAGAGGCTTCACCAGTCAACAACTTAAAGGAAATTGATTGACAAAATCATCGACCACAGACAATCTCAGATTTTTGGCTAAGTGTTGAGGAAATGATATTAATGAATAAACTAGAGGTTTGCTAATACAACAGTTGAATATGAAGAAAGGTGATTGACTCAAACACATGATTGCCATATGATTATGCATACAATCTAGGGATTTGCATGTTTTTGTGTATAATCATGTCTAGAATCTCAGAGAATGTAAATGTAGATCGTGCTAGGAAGTTTGTATAGATTCAAAATCCAAGAACTGGTTGTAAATAACTGCTACAGTGTATTATAAGAGCTCATGTAGTAATCTAACTGCACATAATCAATCAATCTTTGTTTTTTTTTGGTCAGCACCCATAATCAATCAATTTGAACATCTGTTTTTGCTTTTATTTTCGTCTTTAACTATCCTGCAAATTTACCTTCGCAATACCTTTAACTTTCCGGTACCTTTTTTTTTCTTGCAACTTCTGAAGTTCAGTACTCGCAATTTAAATACCTTTAGTTCCCTTTACATTCCTTTCCAAAATAAACAAATGACCATTTTTTAATCTTTGTCAATTCAATTCGAATCATCCTGATGCAGCCTGGTGTAGGCTACTCGAACGTTAGGATCGGGAGAGTGACTTGCACACGTGGAACAGGACGAACAGTAATTACAGTCCTGCGCAAGCTCGGGAAAATGGATGTAACTTCGTCGATACAGATCGGAATGACCTGCTTCCAAAGCCAAATGAACAAAGACTTCTGGATTGACAATTTCTCTGTTTTGAGTTTTCTCAAATAAGCACTATAGGAAGGACGAAATCGGGGTAGAAGTGGACGGATGTAAATGGACAGAACAGAGGTAAAGATAGAACTTCGTTGGTTGCTCTTCCAGGCCTCCAAGGAAGTGGATAGGGCACCGATTCTTCTAGATCGATGACTGCAACTCTTCAAGGATGCAGATTTGAAAACCTCCGACTCTTCAAGGACGGAGTGAAAACTCTTCTAGGTTTTCAGGGGTATGAACTCTTCAAGGTTCAAGATAATTGCTTGATGCAAAATTTTCATTAATCAAATTCGTCTGTCGAATACATAAAGTAGATGGTCTTTTATAGCCAAAGAAAAACAAATGAAAAGACTCAAGCAAATGAAGAGACTAAAGAGCATTAAAGACCCTAGAAAGCATAAAACATTAAAGAACTTAGAAACTATAAACTAGATAAATGCCCAACGTCTTCTTGATCATCCCAAAGTATCTTTTAGGCTTCCAATGTATAGGGAAAGACAAGGACTTTATTGTGGCATGGACTCGCGGATGAGACTCTTTGTCTTCGAATTGCATCCCTTCGATATCTTCAAGACTGGTCGAGCGACTTGTCGAGCTCGGATGCGGGCTGATCTCCTTGGTCGAGTGAGCTCGTCTTCGATGCGGGCAGCATTATCAATCTGGCCTGCATCATCCTCCCCTTCTTTAAACGAATTTGTCCCCGAATTCATGTCATCATCAGAGGAATCACCAGCATAAGGTGTTAAATGCCGAACGTTGAAAACATCATGTGTTTTCATATGAGAAGGAAGCCTTAAGCGATATGCATTGGGATTGATGCGCTCAAGAACTTCAAGAGGACCAAGCTTTCGATCACTAAGCTTGTTATAGCTTCCAACAGGATGACGCTCTGGTGGCAAGTAAGCCCAAACAAAATCTCCTGGTTCGAAGATAACTTCACGCCGCCGCTTATCGACGTCCTTTTTATAGGACTCTGTCTTGCTTTCTAACCTTTGGCGCACATCTTCATGAATTGCTCTCATCTGAGAAACAATATCTTCAACATTGCCACTCGACTTTTTAGCAAAAGGAATGGGTGCAAGATCAAGAGCAGTGTTCGGCTGTTGTCCATACACGATCATGAAAGGACTATACCTAGTCGTACGGTTTACAGCACAATTATATGCAAATTCGCCATGTGACAATCGTGTCTCCCAAGAGCGAGGATCAATCATTGTCCTCAATAGAATTCCCAAGGTTCGATTGACGACTTCAGTTTGCCCATCAGTTTGGGGATGAAACACAGTACTATATTGCAGTTTAGTACCGACATTCTTCCACAATTGTCGCCAAAAATGACTGAGAAACTTTGTGTCCCGATCAAAAGAAGCAACTTCACCTGCTTTGTGAAGTAAAACATATACAATACGAACCCCTTTTAAAGCACCTTTTATATCCTTCATCGAAAGCAATGAAGACTTTTCGACAACAGAAGTTTTTAAAGGCTCCTTACTAGGTGCTAATATAATCTTCTTCCCTCCAAATTCAAAAGAATACGTATTTCGATAACCATCATGAGTAGTCCGCCTATCGAATTGCCATGGTCGCCCAAGAATAACATGACTAGCATCCATTGGTAGAACATCGCACCATATCTTGTCGAAATAAACAGAACCAATGGATAGATTAACAAGGCAGCGTTTGGAAACGGTTATCTCGGTGCCTTTCGATAGCCACGACATCTTGTAAGGTGTGGGGTGCGTCTTTAACTCCAACTTTAGTTTGTTCGTCGCCCTTTCAGAAATTATATTCTCACAGCATCCAGAGTCAATAATTAATTGACATACCTTCCCCTTAATCGTGCAAGCGGAATGAAAAATGTTGGTGCGCAGCCACCCATCTCCGGTCTCATCACGAGGAACTAGAAAGATTTTTCTCACCATCAGAAATTCACCAGAATCAGCATGCACTATTTGCTCGTCACCTGCGGACTCTTCGACATCATTCACCTCTTCTTCGAGCAGATCCTCCACATGCTCATCA